CTCAAGTGGTAGAGCGCTCGCCTTGAGCTGAAGAGCTGAGGGACAGCGCCCAGGCCCAGAGTTCAGGCCCCACAACTGACAAAAAAAAAAAAAATAGAGGACACCTCACTGGGCATAGCAGCTCCCACCTGTAATCCCAACTACTCAGGGGGCTGAGAACTGAAGGTTGTGGTTTGATGCCAGCCTGGGCAGAAAAGCCCTGAGACTTGTTATCTCCAATGAACCAGAAAAAAAAGGCCAGAAATAGAGGTCTGGCTCAAGAGGCAGAGTTGACAGCTTTGAGTAAAACAGCTAAAGGATAGTGCCTAGGCCCTGAATTCAAGCCACAGAACTGCTACCAAAACTTAATCAATTAATTAATTAATACATCAATAAATCGGATGACAGGTGACAGTAGATTGCTGACAATGACATCGGTCCCATCTTCCCACCTGCCTAAGGGATTGCTCCTGGGCAGGAAGCCACAGCGAGAGCTCTTTGACCCCCAAGGCATTTGTCACCAAGTGTAAACTCCAACTAAAATTGGCCTTTCGAGTTAGTGTTCACAGCTAGGTTGCTGTGGGTTTTTTGGTTGGTTGTGGGGCTTGAACTCTGGGCCTGGGCGCTGTCCCTCAGCTCTTCAGCTCAAGGTGAGCGCTCTACCCCTTGAGCCACAGCGCCACTTCTGGTTTTCTGGTGGTTCATTGGAGATCAGAGTCTCACAGACTTTCCTTCCCCCGGGCTGGTTTTGAAGCATGATCCTCAGATCTCAGCCTCCTGAGTAGCTAGGATGACAGGCGTGAGCCACCAGTGCCCAGTGCATTTCTTTTTTCATACTGCATTTAAACGGGGAATTTTCATTAGACTTGCTTGAATAGTGAAAAGTACCTAAAAGTCCTGGTTTGTTGTAAAAGCCTTTGAGGCGACTTTGGGGTCTGGGAGCCCACGTGTCAGCTGCGGTCCTTCCTGAGCATCTATGTTCGATTAACCTCTCCTATCTTCTTCCGGTTGCAGAGATGTTATCAAGTGGCTGGTCAAGGCTGTCACTGAAGATGGACTCGCTCCGCCCTCCGAGGGGACTCAGACCTCTTCAGGAAGCGGAATCTCAAAGGCCAGCACCATCCACCCTTCTTCGCCCCAGACGAATCTGACCAAGAACACCAACCAGCTGTAAGAGACTAGCAAAAACAGTCCTTCCCCCAGGGGGCCTTAAAAATAGCACCAGGGCTGGGAAGGAGGCTCAGTGGTAGAGTGCTTGCCTTGCATGCCTGAAGCCCCGGGTTCGATTCCTCAGCACCACATACACAGAAAAAGCCGGAAGTGGCGCTGTGGCTCACTTGCTAGCCTTGAGTAAAACAAGCTCAGGGACAGTGCCCTGACCCTCAGTTCAAGCGCCAGGCCTGGCACTAAGTAAATCACTAGCATAGCTTGGGGATATGGCTCAGTAGAAGAGTATTTGCCTCACATGCATAAGGACCTGGGTTCAATCCTGGAACCAACTGGGTGATTAAAAAAAAATAAAAAATGGGTACCAGTGGCTGCTCAGAAGGCTGAGATCTGAGGATCGTGGCTCAAAGTCAGCTTGGACAAGAGAGTCTGTGAGACTCTTATCTCCACTAAACTACTCAAAAAGCCGGAAGTGAAACTATGGCTCAAGTGGTAGAGTGCTAGCCTTGAAGCTCAGAGACAGCACCCAGGCCCTGAGTTCAAGCCCTAGGACTAGTTCGGAAAAAAAAAAAAAAAAAGTAGTTTAAAGGCTAACTCTTTTTTTTTGTCAGTTATGGGGCCTGAACTCCGGGCCTGGGCGCTGTCTCTCAGCTCTTCAGCTCAAGGCTAGCGCTCTACCACTTGAGCCACAGCGCCACGTCCAGTTTTCTGGTGGTTTATTGGAGATCAGAGTCTCATGGACTTTCCTGCCCAGGCTGGCTTTGAACCATGATCCTCAGATCTCAGCCTCCTGAGTAGCTAGGATTAGAGGTGTGAACATTCTGAGATTATTGTTAGTAATAAACTATTGTATTCTTTCTTTTTCTTTTTTTTGGTCAGTTGTGGGGGCTGAACTCTGATGTTCAATGCACTCTACCACTTGAGCCATAGCACCACTTCCAGCTCAGGGAGAGTATAAGGCCCTGACTAAAAATGAAGGAAGACACAGTTCCTTCAGTTTGAAAAAACAAAAAACAAGGGGCTGGGAAGGTGGCTCAGTGGTAGAGCGCT